AGACCGCAGACAAGCGTTGTTTTAAAGATTGAAAAATTTTAAACGACTACCAACTGGCACATTTGTCGTACATTTATTGCAATCTGGTTGTTCTTCTTGAAAAAGTAGAAAAAAGTAACTGTAAAGTAATTAAACAATTGCCACTCCAAAGGTCGTATGTGTATGAAAATACTCAGAGCACTTGAGGCGTCAGCGATTGAGGCAGCTTGATGGGTGAGGCAACTGACACGGTTGTTGGTGTGAAATTGGGCAATCAAGCTCAAATTGCAAAACAGACACTACCAAGCACGCAACGACCACAACGACATTAGGAACAGAACAGGGCTTCCAGCAATTTATTTACATACATATATACACATACTTGTAAAGCTTGGTCAACAAAAGTTCTTACCGTTGTAGCTATCACCAATGGAAAACAGCTGTTGGCAGGTAGTAACAACTAAATATGCAGTTAAATGCGGCAAGTGTAGCAATTGTGTGCTGCAACGCTTTCAGGTTAAAATATTTACTGTTTCTTTCAAGTGCTCACTTTTCACACACAAATGCAATTACAAAATCAACTCGCCACATAAACAATGTGCAACAACAAAATCTTAAAATAAATAACCCAAAAATAAATACATGAACCTATGTTTAGAAAAAAACAACAAAAAAAGAATGGAAAAGATTACAAAACTGTCTAAGCAAAAATGTTGAGTGCTTTGTCTCTGATAGTCTATCTGCTGGTGGAAAAGTGAAACTAGAACTACTGCATAATTGTGTTAATCGCCACCAAAGCGGTGGCCTAGTGGCAGCGAGCGCATTTTGACCCTGATTTCGTTTGTTGCTGCTGAAAGCTTGTGGAACTAATTTCATTATCTTACAAAAGGCGGCTCCAGACTGTAGCAATTTTCGCGAAAACCGATATGTCGAAATATTTTTTTTTTCTTAGGTTGGTATGACTGTCACTGTACGGAATGTCATATAAAAATAGTGTTTAGTACACGCTTGTCCTTCTGAAGTATATAAAGTGCATTCGGCGATTTTTAAGAGTAGTGAAATTATTCAAGAAAGAAATTCCATTCACTTTTTGTGTGGAATCAAATTTCTGGTGCCGAAACGTTCAGAATATTGGAAAAGGTTTTCGGTGACAATTGTTTTAATTTTGCGCTTGATCTCCAGGCTTAGACTATTGGTGGAATTTATGCTGGTTGCGAGATATACAAAGCCCTTAACTAAATCAAATTTATAACTGCTAACAGTGATTTAATTCCCAAGATGCGAGGAATCGATGCATGTAGCCTACAGGTACTTTGTCTTGCCTGCGTTCACCACAAGACGAACCTTCCAAGGTTTGGAAAGGCTGCGCTGATGGCTCTGTTGTTAAGGCCTATGATGTCAATATCATCTGCATAGTCCAGTAGCATTGAACTTTTAGAGTAGACAGTGCCCGATTCTTCCCGATTTTAACGCAGCTGATGGATTTCGGAATGCCATTCTGCATAACCGTATGAGAGTCGAAGGGATACCAAATTTAGACAAGGCGTCGAATAGGTAGCTGTTCTCATTGCTGTTGAAAGTGGATTTGATATTGACAAGAAGGTGAAAGATGATGTCGATCTGTTTGTCAAGAGTCTTCTCTAGGATTTATGTACTGTAAAATATGGTCTATGGTGGATTTGTCAGGTCTAAAGCCACATACAAGGTAAAATGATTTTATTTACAATGGTCTCTAAGTCTTTCGCATAATACTGCCGATTCATGCCATTAAAGCTACAATTGCCGAATTCGTTTAGGATAAATTCTATGAAAACCTAAATTCATAACATAAGATTATTCTGATGATCCTATGTTACATTGCGGAAATGGGCGGTATCGGACTACAACCACGCCTGCTTCCCATATAACAGTATTTTAAATTTAATCTGATTTTTTCACTTCCAGCATACAAACCAAACATCAATGAATATATTCAAATGAAATTTTGCACAAATAGTTGCTTTGATGTACGCCATCCCGAGTCTTACAATTGTCAAAATCAGTACATAACTGTTCAAGCCTCTACATATCGAATTTGTGGCCCCGTGCGTCTGGCTGACTTTTCGCCGAAGATATCGGCCAACCTTTGAGATATGTTATTGAAATTCGGAAAAAATATTTCTTTAATAAAAATTTCTTTTGTTTCCCCACTATTAAAAGGCGTCCGAACTAGTGCTATCTATATTCATATAGGTTATACATGTATATAAAATTATTCTTATAATATTCAATGCTTTCGTAGTAAATGTAGTAACCTATAAAACTCAACTGTAAAGCGTTGGATGTGCTTAAGATACTGAATTTTGTGGTGGTATGTACGTATGTATGTATGTATGTACATAATTACTTATCAAAAAAAGTGTGCCTCACTCAGACGTCCATTAATTTTAATTAAGATAACCAATTAGCAGCAGAATGAAACAGGATCATACACACATTAACAGATAAGAAGTTAAAAGTCTAGATATAACTAGCCAAATATACTGCTAAAATAAAGTGGAATATTTCAGCTGAGTATACTTTTTGATCGAAGCAGGATGAATCATCTGTTTCATAGAAGCCCGTTTTATGACTGCCACTAATCATTCATTCTAATTGGCCACAAACACGTTTTTCGGGTCGCTAAGAGTTTTACTTTCGGAAACAAAATTTTATGTTTCTATGACGATCGAATAAATATTTCCCAACTTTCGTGCCTACCGTTCGTACACTAATGAGTATTTGTACAATTTTTTTATCCACTTACCATAACTGTACAGATTGAACATAAATCAAAACGAGCGAATTAAATAACACAATTTAAGGCTTGAAGAATGGAATTACAAAACTGAAATTGTATTTATTAGACCGTGCTACGCCACAGACCGACATTTTAGCGCCACACCAACAAACTTAATCACGTCCACTCACGAAAACACATAGTTACAACTTGGCTACTTATTTGAATACGTACGTATGTATGTATGTATATAAGATGTGTATGCTAATACTTATGTTAGGGCTAGGCTAACAATTCCGATGCAAAGAAAATTCGAAGAAAGTTGTTCCAGAGAATTATGAATTCGATTTCTAATTTCACTTGCCAGCGTAAAGTAAGTGACTTTAAACACAAGTTGCAATTATTTCTCAATTCTACTGCAGCATTCTTGCAAATGAAATATTTTTTAACAATTTTGAGTATCATCACTAATGGGTTTGAGGAAATCCGTATTTTCTTTCGCAACACCATTTCTTTGATCAACATCGAATTTTACCACAAAAATAATTTGAAGTCATGAACGTAGCTTTTAAGATTGAAAAATAAAAAACTGATTTCAATAATGGACTACTTTTCGATGAAGTTTCTCTTAAAAACCCTGATTCCTTAGATTTTGTGTATTCACAACTCGAAAAGACTGCAGGTGTAAACATGGAGAGGGTGAGTGCAACAACAAATTCAGTGAAAAAAAGCAAGAAAAGTCATACCACCAAATGAACTGAAATATAAGTAGAATATTGACTTTGAAAATGTTGTTGTTGCATAAAAATTTGAAATAAAAACTCTCTCAGCGATCGACAGGAAGTTAAACAAGTAAGGAAGAGCTAAGTTCGGGTGTCACCGAACATTTTATACTCCCGCATCAAATACCGTATTTGTGTAAAGTTTTATTCCGCTATAATCATTGGTTCCTAATGTATATATTATACAGAGAAGGCATGAGATTTAATTCAAAATAGCGTTATATAGGAAGAAGGCGTGGTTGAACCGATTTAACCTGTATTTCGTACATGTCATCAGAGTGTTGAGAAAATATTATGTACCGAATTGCATTGAAATCGGTCGAGTAGTTCCTGATGTTTTTGGTCCATAAGTGGGCGACGCCACGCCCATTTTCAATTTTTAAAAAAAGCCTGTATGCAGCTTCCTTCTGCCATTTCGTCCGTAAAATTTAGTGTTTCTGACGTTTTTTGTTAGTCGGTTAACGCACTTTTAGTGATTTTCAACATAACCTTTGTATGGGAGGTGGGCGTGKTTATTATCCGATTTCTTCCATTTTTGAACTGTATATGGAAATGCCTRAAWGAAACGACTCTATASAGTTTGGTTGACATAGCTATAGTAGTTTYCGAGATATGTACAAAAAACTTAGTAGGGGGCGGGGCCACGCCCACTTTTCCAAAAAACTTACGTCCAAATATGCCACTTCTTAATGCGATCATTTGTGCCAAATTTCAYTTTAATATCTTTATTTATGGCTTAGTTATGATACTTTATAAGTTTTCGAACTTAACCTTCTTATGGAGCCAAGAAATACGTGTGCCAAGTTTCATTTTGATATCTCAATTTTTACTCAAGTTACAGCTTGCACAGACGGACGGACGGACAGACAGACATCCGGATTTCAACTCTACTCGTCACCCTGATCACTTTGGTATATATAACCYTATATCTGACTCTTTTAGTTTTAGGACTTACAAACAACCGTTATGTGAACAAAACTATAATACTCTCTTTAGCAACTTTGTTGCGAGAGTATAAACAGTATTGTTCACTATAAAATAAAATATGTATATCGGGGTCAGATAACCACCGAGACCTGGAGACGAATGCATAGACTCGCAGCTAAAATTATAAAAGTAAGACACCGATGGGAAACTAGTAGATGTTATGGTGTGTGGTTGTTGAAGTAAATTACACAAGCTTTATTAGACCGATTTTAAAATTTTAGATTTTAAAAAGCGGAAGACGCTGTTAACGACAGTGCTAAAAAGAAGAAAGGGAAATGAAATACTTCATTATCTTTTTTTATTAGTTTTTTCACCTTATACAATAAAAATGTTCATATTCTGGTTTGCTTAATTCAATTATTTCATTCTTTTTCGAAGAGAAGTGGCGGATTGTTTTATCTTAAATGCAGCTGGGGTAAGTTTACGTATTGGCAATTAATTAAAATAAATTGTTAGAAATGCATTTCTTAAAAATAAATAACTATTAAACTTACCAGTGGCTGCTTTCTTGAAGATGATTTAGTGATTCTTTCGAGCTTAAACTTTTCTTCAAAACAATTTTTTTCATTTTTTGTAGTTCTCGTATTTCAAAAGTTGCTTATCCGCTCTCTGTACAAGTTTATTTTCTTCACGCTTACAGTTTTCAAGAGGTATGGATATCCTTAGTACATCTATAGGTATATGTGTAGGCGATAAAAACTTAAAGTGAAAATAGTATAGCTTTTTTCCGTTAAAGTAGCGTTACATTAATGCAATGCATGTAATTTTTCACAATTATTTAACTGTCTTCTGTTTGTAACATATTATCCAAATTCCCATTGCCAATCGTGTGCCTCGGGTCTAAACAATGCAATTGGCCTTTACCAAACGTAGTTTTGCCTCTTCCATTGTGGATTTTTCGCACAGGAAAGATATCATGAAAATAAGTGCAAAAAAAGCAAATACTAGATACACATACAAATGTACCAGTACATTTTTGGATAGCCTGCGTTGTCTGTCGGCACTACGGTGCATCATTTATTACACGTATCTGTTTATATATTCATATATGTATATAAATATTTCTTTGCTTTGTTGCATTCTCACACGCCTTTGCCACATACAATCTGGCTTTGTGAGCAGCATGCGGTTAGCACAGCGATGTTAGCTCATAAATACATGTACATATGTATATACATACATATGTATTTCTTATTTGTGTATTATTAAGACGCTGAATCTAAAAAACGATAATTTTTGAATACATACAAATGTAAAAAAATTTTAACCTTTTCATGAGCATTGGAAAGCTAGGACTTACTCAAAAAACTATAATTTTTCTAATCAAACAGGGTAATGCCTCCACAGTACACTCCGGATGAGTAACAGATATGTGGGTACATTATTTTACACGCTCACAAGCAATTTATCGAAAGTATTATGTAAGTTTATAGTGTGCCCCTCGATTCCTATTTTTCGAGTGCCTTACTTTTACCATCTAAAAACTAGCAAACGCAATCTGTTCGATGGCTATTTGCTTAAGCACACATTCCTTTTTTACATGAACTCAATCGGTTCGAGCAAAGCACTGCAAGCCACAAACACACTGAAAGCAATAGAATCGGTTAGCCATCGAGCCTGTATCCTCTGTGCAGTTAGGCAAAAAAGCAAGCAACTGAACTGGGGGTTTCTATACAATCGAGCTCAATTGGTTTGCAGACACTACACTTGGCAGGAACATCCGCATGGGTACTGACAACACAGTACTTTGGCACACGAATGCTATTCCTCGGCCCATCGGAGCTCGTTTGGGCGAATGTCTGCGTTTGTATATTCATTAAAATATTTACAGTAAATTTAGACAAATAATAAAATTCGACAAAATGTTTTTATTTAGTAAGGGGTTTCTCATTTTGTCATTAAGCTAGAAGGAATTCAAAATACCACCATTCAAAATACTCCTAAGATGAATACGTAGCTTTAAATCCTTTTAGATAAGTAGGATAATTTTTTTGCATTTTGCCATTTTTACTTCTAATAGAAGAGTTTGTTTTTGAAATATTTCACACAAAATTAGGATGTTTTTGATAATTAATCAAAGGCTGATAGAGAAAAATACTTCAGACTTGAATAAGGTAGATAAAACGATTCAACCTTTTAAATCTACATTCTGACTACTGAAATTTTTCGTTTTGATCATAAAGCAATAAATTAATATTTTCGGATTCGCTACTGTGAAGGAAAGATTTTCCATTGTCTAAAACCTTAGAATTTTTTTATTCGCGGAGAAATTTTTTAAATTGTAAGTAATATGTTTTATATTATTTTATTTCAGTTAAATTTGACCATTAATTCCACTCAAAAATATTTTTTGTATGATTTAGTTTTCGTTAATTCAATTTTGTTTCACTTTATTTCTTTTGTTTTACTTTACTTTTTATTTTATTTTTATTCCTGAATACTTCAAATAGTTTTCATTGATGATCAATCACTTTCTCATTTTTCACAAAATTCCAAAACTTTGACCAACTATGTAATTATTGAAAGTTTTCTATAACGGTTGCTTTGTTCAAACTTTGTATACTTCTTATTCAATATTCTTCAGTTTCTCACTTTTTCGGTCTTTGAAAATAGATTTTATTTGATCGATATTCCGGACTGGGCACAAATTTCGCGCTTTCGTGTCCGTCAAGGTCGCCGTCACCACTCTGAATGAATGAATACGAAATACGAAACCTCTGCAAGAAAACGACCGACTGAAACTTCTTCATTGGTCCACACACACACATGTATAGACATTGGAGTCGACGAGCTTAGATTTTCAATTTTCCCATAGACGAACGAAGGCAAACTCGCTTACCAACTGCAGTAATAGCAACAGGTACGAAGACGGTGGCTAAACGAGATGTGTATAAACATATTCATGTGTGTACGAAGACAGTGAGGAAGATCGAAGCTTGGACATTAACGACTAGGCTAACAGAACAGCACTTGCACAACGCACTACCGATTCAGACGTACATATGTATGTACATAAGTATCATAGCTTTTCGATGTCAGCATTCCACCGGCGGCTAGCGGCATTTGAAGATTTAATCGCCGGCACCTAGCTATTACTAGCTAGCTAGCTAGTGCATGTACACCAACGAAAGGTCCGCTACGCACGATATTAGTACGAAATGGAATCGAAACATCGCCAAAACTCCGTTCAAAGCCAACGCCAACATTACATGGCAAAGAAAGCTTTCTTGGAAGCTCTTTGCAGATCAATGTTGCTTGTGGCTTAGTGAAGAGCGTCATAGTGATTTGTTTTTGTTTCCACAAACATATTGACAATTTCGGAAGATGTATCTTAAGAGATATTACTTACATAGTTAAAGCAGCACTTTACAGAGTGCTGTTAAATAGTTAGCATTGTATGTTACTTGTCGCACTGGTATGAATTTGCATGGCCATCAAAGCTATTTGAATATGAATTTAAACCGAATTTCAGCTACTCCTACTTCTTATAATTGTACAACACATTTTTAATTTCCATGTGATGCTATCACTTTCCAGAACATAATTCCTGAATCAACCAAAATAGTGGATAATAAAAGTTTGCAAACATAGAGTTAAGCCGTACCGTAATACATACAAATAGAGTCGAACTCGCCTCTAGCTGACTGTTTTCAAAAAAAAAAAAAAAAAAAAAAAAAAAAAAAAAAAAAAAAAAAAAAAAAAAAAAAAAAAAAAAAAAAAAAAAAAAAAAAAAAAAAAGACGGGTACGATGTGAGATATATTAATAAAATTCATGATATGGAACATATTTTACCGATAATCATGTGATGTTGAAAATGGGTAAAAACTGCAGAATTACAGATTAAATCTCACCCTCAGACCAATGGGTATGATAATGAACGATGGCAAGACGAAATATCTCCTGTTATCAAATAAATAGTCGGCGGATTCGCGACTTGGCTCCCACATCCATGTTGACAGTCATAACTTCGAAGTCGTAGATAATTTCGTCTATCTCGAACCAGTATTAACACCATTAACAATTTCGGTCTCGAAATCCAACGCAGAATAACTCTTGACAACAGGTGCACCTTCGAACTGAGTAAGAATTGACAAGTAAAGTCCTCTTTCGACGACCAAACTCTAAAAGTCATTCATTATTCCCGTCCTACTACATGGTGCAGAGGCATGAACGATAACAACATCTGATGAGTGTAGATCCAATTTTATCTATGTTTGTCAATACTACATACCTTTAACATACATTATACTAATAAAATATTGCCCGGGTTAGGGTATGGAGTAAAGTCAGCCGGATGTTCGAAAATTCTGATATTGGTTATATTGGGGTCTGGCATTTTTAGCATTTGCATCCTGATTCATTTGACTTATGTGGATCCTGTCAATAAGTCTACGAAATTAAACAATAATGAAAATGTATCAGACACAACAATAGTTCCAACGCCGAAGGGCAGCGGCGTATTAATTAGCTCAAGTTGCACAATTGATGAATGCGTAAAAGTAAACAAATCGGTATAACCACATCCCAATTATTTTTCATTTCTGCCTTTTGCTTTAATGAAGTCTCGGACACAGCAGATATAGCAGATGATGAGCGGTGTTGCACATTACATTACTACTGAATTTTGCCGTTGCTAATCTTTTATGCTTTACTAAACAATTTTTCTACTGTTTCAATTGCTGTGGAAGTGTGCACATTGCGCCATCAATGTGCATGTAAAATTCATAATACCCCTTGATTTATATTGCAACAATCTGGCAGACACACCATAATAACTCATTCGATTACTCGATTGGTAATCAAATGTCTGTGTGCTATTGCCATTTCTTCGGGTCTTTTCTTATCACCGAACATTGTGTGTTTGTAGACGGGTGTGAGCATGGGTATGTAACATATGGGAAGGAATATTTTGCTTTTGCTTAGGCTGGCGCTAATTCGAGATACCAAGTGTAGTTAGGTCCCTCTCCACCTGATCCCTCCAACAGAGTGGAGGTCTTCTTTTTCTGTGCTTACCGCGCCGGTTATTGCGTCGAATACTTTTAGAGCTGGGTTGTTTTCATCCATACGGATGACATGACCCATATATATATATGTATTTATAATATATATTTATGTCAACCTTAAAAAATAGTGGTCCCTTAAACTCATCGAAAAAGCCAAAGTGAAGATGAGTTCATCTCTCTGCCTCATTATCCTATCGCCTGCCACAAGCAATGTAATGTACTTAGCAGTGCCGGATTAAACTAGCGCGGGGTCTGTAGCAAAGCCTGTCAAGGGGCCCTTAATTTGCTATAGGGTCTCAAGTGTAGGGTATTAAATAAAACCAAATTGTTACAAAGAAACTTTTCTGAATTTATTATTGGCAAATTTAGAGATAATACTTTCAATATCGACTTTTTTAAGCAAGTCATGCTTTATATTTAACAAAGTGAGGTCATTAAGACGTTCTTTCCTATCGTGTTCCTTAATTCATTTTTAATGCGTTTTAGTGTTGAAAAAGAACGTTCGCCACTGCAGTTAGTGATCACGAGGGATAAGTAAATTCACAAAGCAACTTCTAAGTTTGGGAAACACGATTTAAAGAATTATTTAATAAAAATTTATAATATTGCCGTTCCAGAGGGTCCTGTTTCTTGCTGTCAATAACAGTACCCACATTTGTTTTCAACAGAACTGCGAACTGCACTAATTCGCCGCCTAGGCTGTTCGCTAAATCATCTTTGTAAGCACTGACCTTACTAGAGGGTTTTTACAAAATTTCTTCTGTTGTAAGAGATTTTAGCTGTCGAAATACTTCAAAAAACACTAGCAATTTTATAATATGCTTTCATACGTTTAGTTAAAGCAGACAGTACGTTATCAATAATGACAATAAACATCTCAAATTCGAAACGTTGTCCAGGTGTTTGATTTTCAACAAAGTCGTCGATTGTAGTAGAGCCGCTGAAATTGTCGTAATTTAATTTTTTGTGATGACTGTTTCTGGATCTTTGGCTTTTACCTCAATATCTGAAAAAGTGGATCGCATTGCTTGGACGTAGCCATGTAATGATTTCCACGTAATTGTCATTATTCCAGTTTCTAACTTATTCATCGTTGAAGGTAGTCGGTAATATTACGACACTCCGCTTTTTGATCCATGTTATTGAAAATGTCTTCCAATACTTGCTTAATAGTGATAAAACCACATAAAAGTGCTGTAGTAGCATCAGCTCGGGTTGACCACCTAGTGGCCGATAACCGTTTCAAAATCGGAATTTTTGAAGTAGAATCTTTAAGTGCATTCGTAAGACGACACCGTAATAAGAAGAAAAAAATGTATGAAATCGAAAAAACTTTTTTCTGTACAGCAGTCTGCAGCGCACTTAGTAACCAAATTTTATGAATGTGCAAGACAGGGAATGTATTTTACATACTTATTTATTTTCTTAATTCGGGCTTGTATGTCGAGGTTTTTCCCACTCATGTTGCTGGCATTATCGTAGCTTTGCCCACGACAATCTTTGATATTAAGGGGTTAGGGGTAGTCAGAGGTATGAAAAAATAACTTAAAAATTAATATCAACGTGAAATTTTCAAAGAATATTTTTAAGATATTACACTTAAGGAAATTGCAAAACAAGAAATGAATTTTTTGAAAATTCTGACTAGGGTTAGGGGTCTAACCCCTTAATGCTACTATCACTCAAGAAATCTAGCAAACTTTGAGCGAGTTGTTCAGCAGTATGGCCCTCCATGTCCAAGAACTTTATTTTATCGTACTATCAGAGTCAGTTGGTCTACAGGCGATATATATGGAGTAGAATCCAATGAAACTGAGTAGTATTTGCATTTCTTAATTGCGCAAATAAGTATGCTTGATGCAATTAGATGAATAAATTCTTCACAAGTTGTTTCTGAGAAATATGACGTATGTTCCTTTCCTTTATTAGCATAACTTTTAATATGTTGAGCGATAAAAACGTTGGGCTATTAATTCCAACAAGCCTAAATCCACATCCATTGTGAGCTGAACCAACAATTTCGTCACCACCCCTAAACGCAATACCTCGTTCTGGTAACAACTTTATTATTCGGCAGAAATTAAACTTTATTTTGATATTAATAAAGGATATTAATAAAAAATATCCTACTTATTTTTACGATTTAACGTGACGAAATTGAGTTTTAGATTTTCAGGTGGAAGGTGGAAGTGAAGCATAGCCTAATTTCTTCGCGTTTAAAGCATGCAGGGATATTTTAGGCTCCATCTAAATTGATATATTTTAATTACGGTCAGTTGGAGCGCGGGGCCCGTAGCATTTGCTACTCTTGCTACGTGGCTTATGGCACTGGTACTTAGTAAGTACAAAATTATCTAGATGAAAAAAGTTTGTCGTTCTATGAGGAAACTGAATATTACTTAAAATAATATTTCTACTCATTATGTAATTTTAAAAGCTTAGCAAAGCTCTTATAACATAACGAAAGTTATAAATTTTCCTACATACATACATCCATATATGAGGTAGTTAAATCATACGTTGATACTCTCCTGTCCACTCCACTACCTTTGCTTTGTGACTTCTTTGATTTTGAAATAATTATGATGTAACTGGTCACACTTTGCTTAAATTTCTAATCAATAGAGTTCGCAATTGGCTCATTAAAGCTGCACCACAATTTGTCGGTA